GCAAGACAAGCATGCATTCAGCAGTAATAACTTTCAACATCACTGGGATCGACGCGCAATTTCGTCAAAGTGAAAGTTTTACACCAGGACTCTGAGGCAATGTTGACGCGAATCGTGATTGTGTGCGTGATGAAAAGCGTGCAGCAGTAGTCGCATGCTTAGACGTCTCGCACCAGGCATCAAATGAGCCTTGCTGAAGAAATTCGTGTCCGCGCAGTGCTTACCCACTGGTAGTGAGGCCGTTGCATGGTGCCGGCCTAGGGTATTGAAGGCTCATGTACCCACCCGATGCAGTGGTTAAGTGTTGACTTATTTTGATCTCGCACCATGGTCGCACGATGCCGTCCCTAGCGACAAAAACAGGTGGACCTGCGATCTGCGATCTGCGCGCCTAGCGAGTGACAAGGTCGCGAGGGTTTGTGAGAGTTGAGCGCATCTTGTGGTAGCTTGGGCGGCGAGTATTGGTAGTTTTAGCCGACGCACTTCATGGAGGGGACCCGCACATAAACCAGACGGCTGAGCAACTTGGAGCTTGGTTGAGCGTCGATGATAACGGAGCACTGAAACGCAAAACGAAATGCTTGGATGACGCATGCCATGACGATGAGGGGGCTCACGCAGAAGGAATGGAGGGATGAAGCGACCGTTTAGAGGCCTGTCCTGAAGCCAGTGCGCTACGGCAACACAACAATAGCCCGTCGGGTTATTCCCAGGATATTCTCACGGAAGTTTCCAGCCAGGGTCGGCAGACAGAAGTTTCTTCTCGCCGGCGGAAGCTTCTCTCTCCCCTGCTATTAAAGGTTGGACAGTATTGCAGCGGTGGACATGGCAGCAGTGGTGGGTGAATGGCGAATGTTTTACGATGTGAAACTCGCCCCCGCATGTCCAACCGTCGTTCGCTGGGCCAGGAAAATGTCAGCAAAGGACGCAGCGCGATTGGCGTGCTGGGTGCAGGCCAGGGCGCAAAAGGAGCATCTTCGTGTTTAATGGAGTGCGGTCGTGTGTATGGAGATCTGGAATGCGGTCGCCGGATCGAGCTCATGTCCGCGGCCCTTCTTGGCTGCTATTCGTGGGGCCGCAGCGCCGCTAAGTTTCGATAGTCTGGTCCTGCTGGGAAGGGGCACACGATCGCTCCTTCCGCCGATGTCCAGGGCTGGCTGGAGGGACTGCGAGGGCAGGTCATGGCGGGTTGTGGCTGTTGGGCGTCTTCAGGAGGCGCGTGCGGGTGGGCGACAGAGGGTTTGATTGACGAGTGGCAGATTTGGCCGCTGTCGAGGCTTCAGGCGCCCACTCGGCTGATTGGCTGCTTTATCGTTCTACGAGGCATCGAGACTCCAGGCTGGTGGTCGGCTGCGTCCTGTCTAATGCTAGCTGCCACTCTGAAACTCCAACACCTCCTGGTCGGGCCGGCGCACACCACGACGCGCAGTATACCTATCGTCCTGTCCCGTACTTCCTGGGAGTTCTTCCCTCCTGGCCCCGCTGCACTGCACTATTCGATGCAGGCCAACCCACGGCGCATCACCACGATTCTTCCGTCATATCCTCCCAGGTCCCCCATGCTTGCAGTAGTCGCCAGTAGCTTTGTCTAGCCATTCCTAGCCGACCATACGCTACCGGCTTCCCGCGCGCGCACCCATTTCCTCGTCGCGCACTTGCAGCACATATACACGCTCTGCAGCCGCACTCTACTCGAAATCCTGCCTTCGGCCTAATATAGCATACTCTAATCAATCATGAAGCAACGCAAGTTTTCCTTCAATCTGGCGCCAGTCGTACGTTCCATCCCCAGTCCTTTGTCTGCAGTCGCATCCCAACAGTAACTCACCGCCAATGTAGAAGATTGCCTCCAAGCCAGACCTCTCCGACAAGCCCGCGCCGGACCCGACTCCCTCTTCGTCACACAAGAGACACACCTCCAAAGACAGCATATGCGACCAATCGCCCTACATCAACCGCCGCGTTCTCGACGAACATACCGATCTGGAACTGCGCCTAGCATGTCGCGAAATCCTGCAGAACTTCAAGCCATCCGACCATGGCATGGAGAACACCGACCCCAAGCTCGACTTTGGTGGCCTCGGCCGTCGGAAGGAGAGTAAACCACAGGCCACTGAGGTCGCTGTCCGCATGCCCACTGGCGCGCCTCCAGAGCTGGCAGCGACTTCGACGTCATTCATGATGCGCAAACCCAGCACCAAGACGCGCTCACGCACGAAGGCGGACCAGGAGATAAGAGCAAGGACCTATGGAGACATGCCTGCACGCGCGAATAGCAGTCGCAAGCGAGCTGACTTCGGATGGCTTGACGAACGGGACGCCGAGAGGGAGGAGAAGCTGAGGTCATACGGCAAGACTTCTATGGACGTACCGCGATCGAACGTCTTCCACAATGACTCGGACGAAGACGTGACCCTTCCCGTAGCAGTCACATCTACTCTCGCCAACGCCAAGATGTCGTCGTCAGTGCCTACCTCAGCATCTTTACCCTACAGCAGGAGCATGAACCGACTATCCCACCAATCCGATAACCCAGCAGCAGTTGCAGACGCACAAGCCGCAGAATGGATGCGTCGAGAGCTGGAGAAGAAGCGGCAGCAAGAAGCATCAGAGGGCCACCGTGGCCGCTCATCGACTTCAGTCCGACCACCCAGTCGTGCTGCCAGTGTCAAGGAAAGCGTTAAAGAGTACATCTTCCCAGGCTCTCGCAGTCGGGCTCTGAGCCGCGCGCAGTCCAAAGAGTCTCTTCGTCCAGCAGTCGACAACGACGACCAAGGTCTTTCACGCAGTGGCTCGAATTCAGGATGGCGTAGCTGGGGCATTCCCCGCCGCTTGAGTTCAAGAAGCAACAGCAGACCAGGAACCTCGAAAGGAAAACCGGAGGAAGCTCAGCCCAGGAAGTCGGAGTCCAACGGCCTCAACTTGAACAGAGAGCTACCCCCACTACCAGGTCTGGACACATGGAAGGACCACCAAGAATCTCCCCAGGAGGAAATAACAGTATCGATGAAATCTCCCACATCGCCAACCGCCGCAACACACATTGCAAGCATGATGCGCTCGCAAGAACAGCACCAGGAGCGCTCTCCCGCCGCGAAGAAACACAGGAAGAGCGGATCTGATACGTTGGCCATGCAATTCAACGATTCGTTCCCTGCCCGGAAGTCGTCTCGCAAACAGGAGACCAAGGCCATCCCACAGCCCACAAGGACCAATCCAGGTAGCCCAACACACCCCGGAAACACGATGACTGGCTGGTCCTCTACTAGTAATCTAGACCAGCGCCTCGAAGTAGGCTCCAGTAACCACACTCGCCAACGAAGCGGAGATAGCAACTCTGCCAGCAACCAGAGTGCCGAGGCGTCTACCTTCTCTCGTAAGATGAGTCTGGATACCACGGCCCGGAAGACCCTCTCCAACGAGCCCAAGACCCCAGGCCGGGAAGAGCAAAAGTCCAAACTGAAGAAGATCTTTAGCGGCTGGATGCACAAGAAGGACAAGAAAGAGGACTGGATGCACAAGATGGAGAAGGAGGGTGTCAGAGAAGGTGTTATGGTGCAGGACGGCAGCACGAGCGCGTCACCCGTGGTACGCTACTAATTTCTCTTCTCCACCGTCTGGGTCTCAGTCAGGGTCGTACCTTCCGTTTTGGATGGGTCATATGCCCAATTGGGATATCTGTATACATGTAATGACGCTCACGCGTAATGTGCAACGACGCAACGCCACTTTTCGTTTCTTCTCGGGGGTTTCTTAGGGAGTTGTATATGCGGCTGCGCCGTCATCAGTACGATGCATTTTCTTTTCTTCTTGCATAATGGTATAGGATTGTGGTAATAGAATGAGATTTCTGGAGTTTTTCACAATCAGTGCATGATGCCGGTGCTTGCAGTGTCAGAACTGCATGACGTCCGCGCTCCATCTTTATTTCAGGCATGAGAAGAGGCCAAGTTGTCGGTTGGCGCTATACACGTGACTGCGCAATGATGTGTCACGTCAGACTGGGTGCTCCTTCCATGACTACAATCTGGACACTTGCGCTCAACAACCAAGCAAGCGTCTATCTCCAGCCTCATGTGCGCACTACATCTTACTGGCCGTTAACATGGGTATGGAAGCCGGCGTCATTTCGCGACAGCGACTGACTGCATATCAGCAACGCCCTCACCTTTACCTGAAGGTCCCCGCTTTTCCACATCAATTCGAGGTACACGTAGGTGAGGTGTCTGAGTGGTAGCTATGGCAACACTATACGACGGACCGCCTGCCTCATAACAACATCACACGACTGTAGACGCAGGCCGACTGGCGATTGAGTACACAACGTGCTTTCCTGTGGAGGTTCCGACGGTACCTACTCTCGATTCCGAATGCACCTACCACGATCAAGTGGCCACTGCAAACTACTTGCTTCAGAATCGGTGACACATCACATACACCATCCCTGTGCAGCTCCCATTGGATTTGACGACATACCACGACCGACTCTGTGAGAGCTATGCCTCCAACATGATCGTGCAAGGAAGCTAACACCGAGCTGTGCAAGTTCTATTCTTCTCGCCAGAATGCCCATATCATTATGACATTCTAAACGATACATCCACAAGATCTCCCACTCCACTCGTTCGTACACGAAGTCAAAGCTCCATCTTTAGTCACAATATCCGCCGGCAATGTGCAACGTCATTCACTTTTCCTTCAAATGCCAGCATCTACTACGTCTACGAAGATCGCGCTGCAAGGGTACCAAGCACAAGATGACGAGGACAAGCATACGAGCTGCTTGTACTGCTGAATCCTTCCTTACTGTATACGTTCATACTGACTGCAGTCCCTGCGAGCATAAACTATGGGAGAGCCAGTGGGAATCCAAGCTAGGGCGAGCGAGATCATATCTAGCTAAGCTGATAGAGAAGCGGATGGCTGGTGTCGACGAAATATCGACTCTAGTTCGGGAACTTGACGAGCAATATTACGTGGCTTCCTGGGATGCACGTAACATGCAGATAACCTCACACGCTTTTAAGAAAAGCGTGGCGCGGGTAAGCATTACGGATCACCGGACAGCGCGCTCACCCCTGACCCAAGAAGTACGACCAGAAGACGTTGTCGATCCGAAGAAGCACGTGAAGGACTGGATGGAGATGGATGATAACGACTACGATGGGGACTACATTGCGAGCACCGACCCAATCCACCCAGTCAGTACCGATTACTCGCATCCTCTCGACGATGATGACGGAAGCTGGATACTCAATCACTTCTCGCCAGAAGAAATGGAATCTGCGGCCGGAGATCTAGACTTCGACCAGAACGGATGGAGTTGGGACAACAACGATAACGTCAACGACAGCGACAGTGAGAAAGGCGGAACGCCTATGATTGCTAAATCTCAAGAAGAGAACACTACGTCACAGATCGGCGACAACGATCTCATCGCATGGGGGCCTGAAGCCTCGGCGTCCTCCACGCTTTCGAATATCAGCATGGATGGTCTCAGTATGGAACAGAAACATGCGAAGAAGCAGAAAGAACTCATAATCGACGCATTCTGGGTTGTCGTTAATGAGTCCAAGGAGCCACAAAGACATTCAGACTCCAGGATAGACGATCTGAACGTGATCCTTCGCAGCCTCAACATCTCTCACGATACGCCAGCCCCCTCGACCCCTTGCACGCCGACCACGTCACCTCACATGTGGGTAGATGGTTCCTCAGACGCCCATACTCCACCATCAACGCCTGTTCGGCCAACAACACCACCAAGTCCTAACTCAACACGCACAGCTTACAACAAACAACGCAAGTTTCTCAAGAAGCGGCTCCAAGAAGATGCTAACAGAGACAAGTATTGCAGTGACTTGCTCCTTGTTTCGCGATTCGAGGCGAGGGCATTTGAGGGACCAGAGGGGAGATTTATTGCTGATCCCCAGATGGTGAGGGCAGGTGGTGGTGGAGGAGGCAACGGGTGGTTTCAATAAGAGTTTAAAGGTCGTCAAGGGCCGATGCATTGGGTTGGCCACGTTCAGAACTCAGCACGAGGTGGGCCATGTCTTATTGGCACCTCATACTGCACAGGGTCCCGACTGCAGCCTACATCAGGACAAAACAAGCAGATCAGAAACCTCTAGCGTCAATGTAGGCTTCAGGGTGTCAGACTTTCCCTTGATCAAAGCGCTGCAAAGCTCTGAATACCAGTGTGAATGGATGTACCTTTCTTCATTACTCATATACCGACAGTGCCATTACGCGCTGCCATTAATACCCATGTCTATCAAATCCCACTCATGCGCCGAACGCTATGCATAGATCTCATCGCTGAGCTAAACGCATCAGATCACGTAAAGCGTGTAAAACAGCCCCCAGCATGTGCAAGGTCGCCAGACCCAATCTGCGTATGATCCGATACGTCCCCCACCCTGTCCAGTAACATAGCCCCAGTATAATTAGTGGGAACATGATCGGGCTCACTATAAACAAGAGCAGATAAGCTGGCCCCATGCTGAGAATCGCGAACACGGCATGATACCATTGGTTGACAAAGTCCCAGTCGAACTCGTCGGGAATATCGTCTGGATCGAACAGCGCATGGGGATGACGGCCGTCAGTCATCGCGCATACGCTCCGTCGCCTTGCCGATCTAGAGCACCATCAGCAACGTAAATAACCTAGAAGTCTGCGTTAGCTCAGGATATTCGTTTCTAGACTAAATGACTCCGACGTACCCATTGATTCATGCTGGTGGATCGACAGGGATCACCACCTGTCGCCACCAGAATCTCCGCTCATGACAGTATTGAAGAAGTTGGCGTCGCCGCCGTAGTTGCCACCTCCGCCGTACCCGCCCATGCGGTTCTTGCCCTGGGTCTTGGCGTGTTCAACGATAGAACTCTTGCGGCCGAGATCCTTCGCTAGAGAGACGGAGTTTGTAATGGATGATAGCAGATTGACTAGTTGCACATCAGATGCTTCTTGCTGGGACTCGAGCGAGAAAGCGGCTGAGTCTGGCGGGCCGAGGATATTTAGGCGGGCGAGCATGGCGGATACACTGCGGAGAATCGAGTGGTCTAGAGGTAGGGGATGTTGCGCGTCTGGCGCGGCGTTGACTGGTAGGGACGGGTCGGAGAGGTACGATGCTGGGAGCGAGTCGATGTATGCGCGCAGGAGCAGGATTCGTCGGCTGAGCATGCGAATGGCGTTCATCTTGGCTGTAAGCGAAGAGAGAACTGGACAAAGGTTAGTATGACTGTACCAAGTAAAACTTTAGGCGGTTGAACCTACCTTCTTCGTCGTCTGCATTCAAGATGACCGACTCGTCAATGGGCGCATCCTTTTCTTTCTCCTTCTCCTTTTCCTTTTGCTTTCCTCGTGTATTCCGCTTCCCAGTAACCTCATCGGTTCTTGAGGGCTCCGGCGCTGCACCGGCCACGTTTGCTGTGCCTTCTACTGCAGTGGCGTTGCCACCACCCCGCGCGACGAAATCGACAGAGATCATTTCCGCCTCGCCAGTCTCAATCGAGTATACTAGCTCTCTGAACTTTGTAGACTTTGCCTGTACGGCCCCGTCGATATCCATAGCCTTATCGTTCGGATCGCTCGTTGTATTGACGGACAAGGACTCGTAGACGGTAAGAGGCAGCTTTCCGGCAGCGGTTTCTTTGGAGAAGGCATTTTCTGGGTGGAAGAGTACGAGCAGCGGAGACTCGGTGTAGACTTCTGATATGCGCGAATGGATAGGAAGGATGTGGGGTTCTGGGCCGGAGGCGGGACCGAGGGTAAACCAGCCTACAATGTCTAATTGTGGCTCCTTGTGTACGTCCTTGACTACAGTCAGGTTAGCTTCATTCAGATGTGGAAACACGAGGTATAGCCGAGAACTTACAGTCTTCGATACGCTTGCTGAACCATTCGTCGTCTAGTACTGTCTCCCCGTCTTGGTTTGGCAGGAGCTTTGCTTGGAAAGCAACCTCCATCGTGATATTCTGACCATCTTGCGCGCCTAGTATGGCTCCGACTACTGGTCCTGTCTGCTGTCGTAGTGTGTGCCGTGTTACGCAGTCTGTTATTGTGAGGAGTACCAGCGGGTGAAGCTGTACTGTTGGACTTGCGTCAGAGGCGCGGGTGGTCGAAACGAGTGGATTCCCTGATGATTCGGCCATGTTTGCTGCAGTGTAGTTCGGTGTCGCGTCTGAGAGATTCACGATGGTCGATATAGTGGTAGGAGGTCGGAGTGGTAGTCGAGCAGCAAGGCAATTGCAATGATATGGTCTTGGTGGGGAGCTTGCTTAGGCTGCAGCTGCCACAATTCGTGGGGTTGTGCCAAGGCGCTACCCGTTCAGAGCTAGTGTCAACGCGACTGCAGCGCGACGCGCTTTCCATGGGAAAGATCGGTCATCCTCTAGGTTTCACTACACTCCTCTTTCTCAGACTTCAGAATCAAGGATCACGAATCGGAGCGAGTGGTTATCATCGGAGTACGATTATGGCATTATCATCTATGGTCAGGCCTAGCCTCCAGATCTTTGCGTCAATCGCCAAATACACCCCATAACTCCAAATCCAACCCAACCCAAAAGCGAATGGTATCTTAGTCTTGCTCCAGACTTTCAAAACGCCTGACCGCGGTCGCCGCCTTTCGGACGATCTCTCTATATCGTTTCTATCATGTCGTTATGAATGCCACACAATTCAATGTACATATTAGTGGTTTCCTGGGCCGTTCACTTCTTTACATCTCCACGAGGACTTTGAGAACAAGCTTGCCGTCTTTGTCGACCGTCTTGCCCGCGAGCTCGAAAGCTTCCTTTGTCGACGTCAACCCATGGAACCTGTGAGTGATCATGTTGTCAAGACTCGGAAGTACACCGGCAGACAGGATCTTGATACCAGTGGGGTAGGTGTTGGCGTAGCGGAAGATGCCAATGATGTCGACCTCCTTCAGATGAGATGCTGACATGGGTAGTGTCTGAACTGGCGTACCCATTCCGACCATGATGAGCTTGCCGCCAGGCCTTGTCGCCTACGAGAAATTAGGATTAGGTTTGCGATTGTTTCCGGGAGAGACTTACGTATAGTCCAGCTTGCATGCAGATTTCCTTTCCAGTGCAGTCAAAGGTGACATCAGCACCTTCAAAGTCTGGCTCGTTCTGGGATGCAATCTGCATAACATCGGCAGCCAACTCCTTGGCTACGGCGAACTTCTCAGCAGTCTCGTTGCCATGTTTCTGCGGGGTCACGATATAGCCCTTGTGGGCGAAGCCGTTCGCCAAGGCGTAGTTGATTCGCCCATAGTCGATGTCTGCGATGACAACGGTTGTGGCGCCAGACACCTTGGCCATCGCAGCTGTCAGAAGGCCGACTGTGCCTGCGCCAAAAACAATGGCCGTGTCACCTTGCTCGATCTGGGCTCTTCTTGTTGCATGGATCGCAACAGAAAGAGGCTCCAGAAGCGCAGCCGATTCCATGGAGACATGCGAAGGTAGTCTGATTTAAGTTGTCAGCTAAGTTCGGCTTCGGGTCGATCATGCACGACATACTTGTGGCACCATTTCGCGGGATGGTTGATGCGTTCCTGAAGCGTCCCCTGGAAGTGAGGCACAGATTTGGCGCTACTCCGAAACCTCATCTTCGGGCAGAGATTGTAGCGTCCCCGTTGGCATGACCTGCAGTTGTCGCACGGCACACCTACCTCCAGAGCAACACGATCGCCAATCTGGTAGCCGGTAACACTCTCGCCGATGGCAACCACAACCCCAGCAGACTCATGGCCTAGTGACAACGGCTCGCAAGCCTGCAGATCACCGTTGCAGAACTTGCTGTAGTAGGAACAATCGCTTCCGCACAGTCCAGTGGCCTTGATAGCGATCTGGAGTTCATTGGCGGCGGGATCCGTAATGGTACGAGTTTCCTAATTGGATTCGTTAGCTTCACGTTTAGATGCTCAATATACACCAAAACCCCCACGAGTAGTGGGTGGACGTGGGATGTGTAACGAAATTGGAAGGCATACGAGCCGCAAATCCCTTGGCCCATGTAAGACCGAAGCTACGACAGTCGAGGACTTGGAGTAGTGCCTCGTTGGGATTGGATAGATATCTGCGAGAGCTGAGGGAGCCATTACGAGAAAATTTTGGTAGTATGGGGGATGGTGGCAATGGAGCGGGAAGAAGTGAGGAAGAGATAGCTAACAGAAGCCCACCCCACGGGAGCGTGGAGGCTGATATAGTTGTTGAGAAGGCCCATTTCGATCAACGGTGGCCTGGCACAAGCTGGGCTTGCCTCAGGTTGGTGCATCGGCGAGATAATGGCATCGCATGAGGGAAGATTCAAAGGTTCCACGTCATTTGCTAGGCGTATCAAACTGGCGGGACGAGCATGGATAGGGATGCGCGACCAGAGCTACTTGGTACGGTAGGCCTCGCGTAGTCTTTTCTTTATCCCGTTACTCTGTGTGTATATATGAGGCTAGATCTTCTTGTGGGTACACGACCGGGAGCTCTTGTTATTCGCCCAGCGAGCTAGTATGTAGGGACTCAAGCATTGTTAGACTCGTTTTGCCGGATCAACACCGTATAGCTCCGGGACGTGCACACGCAAGATGCGATATAGGAGCAATGTCATAATGCAGTGTGTATCTTGAACACGTCTTGTCTTGTGTAGTGGCCGTCTATCAGAAACCCGCCGGCGTTGTGAAACAGCGATAAGGCACACTGCACGGCTGTGGAGCCCGCTGCCAAAGGTTGTGTTGGGATTTACGGCAGCGAACCTGTCGGT